AAACCAATGATTGAATTCGAACCTGTAGCTTCGGACCAAAGAAACAAACAAAGTCTTCAGTTGTATGTAAAAAAATAAGATTGTCTTAACGAGACACTGTTAAATTATAATACGTTCGTAAGTAGGTACTTATATTAGGTACGAGCTAGCAATGTTTTAACTCAGCTTGTCTCTTAACAAGCTTCAATAAGCATGGTCAGTGCTCAGTGCTTTGATTGAGCCAAGTGGTACAACGTCACTGCCTGTCATTTTTACACGTACGGGTGTACTCAATCAAAGTGCGAACATAAATTCTTCTTGGTATTTTACTGGATAGGCTAAATAATATTATAACATGCTTCACATAAGTTTCCTTACACTGAGGACCCTAGCGATGCTATCGAAACTTATCAGGTTGATCATAAGGAGAAGCAATAAGCTGCCTATGTTAATCTTTGAGTAGAATTTAATGTTTTATGATATTTTTACACTTTTGTGACAACTAGCTACTTCCGCGCAGTTTTACACGCTCTGCTCAGCTCCTATTGGTCGTAGCGTGCTGTTTTATAGTCTGTAGCCATCCTTGATAAATGCGCTGTCCAACATAAAAAGAATTACTCAAATCAGATTTGTAGTTACGGAGATTAGCACGTTCAAACTAACAAAGAAAAAAACAAACTCTTCCGCTTTATATAATAGTATAAGATATAAGATTATAAAGGGTGAGTGCTTGTAAGTCTAAACACATTACTGCCTGCCTGGCCCATAATTTTGATCTCAAAGTTACACTACTTTGATGTTTATACTAACTATTTTGGCGCGTATTCACCCTGCTCAGCGCCTATTTCATAGCCTGTCTGTCTCGATAAACGGACTATCCAACCCAAAATAATTATTCAATTCGGATCAGAAGTTATGGGTATTAGTACGCACTATGTTACGCACACGCATAGAGTTTGTTTGAACGCTCAAACAAACTCTATAGCATTATGTAATAAAAAAACTAAAATGGATTATTAACTCGATCTCTGGTTATGACTTATTCCGTAGGGAGTTCAACAAAATATTTCGAGTAGATACTGTCATATAGAGGTATATCATCATATAAAATAGTTACTCACTTGTATCACTGACAGAAAATGAAACTCAAATGATGAACAAATTTTTAAAGGTAATAGCTTCCAATAGCTTCTGAACCTATTTGATGCAAACAATATTTATAATATAAAAATGAATCTCAAAGTGTGTTGGTAAGCGCATAACTCAACAAAGCCAGAACCAATTTGGCATTTTTTTTTTAAATGTTCATTGGAGTTCAAGGATGGTATTTATGGCGAGAAAAAATCTATTTTTTTTTTGACAGGACAACGTGTATCGGGTCCGCTAGTTATAGATATAACTTACAAACTTTGAAATTGTATAGGTAATAGTTAACTAATGTTAGTCAATAATCTTGCTCACGAATGCCATTGCACTATCAACTGAACTGGTGAAAACTAGATATGTAGATATAGGTACCTACAGCTAATTGTATTTATTTCCATTCAGAGAATTTTACTCAAATACAGGATATTCTTGCCATACCTATATCTACCATACCTATCTTAAAGTACCTAAGATTCAAAGAACTGTAGCAAAGGGTCGTATTGTACGTCAGGTTCGCTCTAGCCTACTTTTGTGGTAATTCCTCATCATTACCCAACCTCGTGCATCTACCAAGTTTGCGTCTCGTAGTCCTTTGGTTCCTAGCCTTACCTTGGCCTAACTGTCTTCATTATCATCTATCAATAAACTTTATGTATATTATATCAATTGTTTCGAAACTTCCGAGACAAACAATATTTGCTACGTTATTACAGACCAACCATTAGGTCAGTGCGTGCAATGTCATTTGCCGTTTGACGTAGGATATCACGGCCTGTTCATATGGAGACAATATATAGATATACAGATATAAACTGTGTAATATACTAGTAGTAGTAGTATGTACCTATATAATAATTCATTGCGACTTCAAAATATTTGTATCTGCTAATGTACTCAAACGTGACTCAAACGGTATTGTATACTGTTAAAAGAAACTTGAAAGGGAAATGTTTATGTACTTTACTGTGTGGACATAATATGTAAACTTTTACTTGTAATACAGACCAGGTTGGTATACCTAAAAGCTCACACATAACACGCACAAACACGATTTGATTTTGATAATAATTCCTATGAAAGCAGCTGTTTGAACAAATGGACGTCCTCGATGATAATTCTTACGTTCTGCAATTTATTGTGCACACATACCAGCATGGACAATTACTTGCGGCTCCGTATTGAAAGCGCTTGTAATTGAAACGGGCGTGAGGTTGTCGCCACACAATTGATTGTAAATTAGCATGAACACACACTAGTGCGAATCATTGCGTCGGAGGCTGAAGGCACCGAGATTTGTTTTGTATTAGAGAGAATACTGACCGAGGGTATTGGTGTGATGTAAGAGCATCGGTTTAAACTGATCAGGGTAGCATTTTCAGAGTAATACTTGAGTTATGAGAACAGTCTACACTAGACGCCATTGTAATAAGGCAAAAAATCGTCAATATTAAACATGACTGCTGACTATAGCCGCCAAAGTATTGTAAAGATATGATAATATTTTTCAAGGGTCTTTGAAACATTTTTTTTTATGATGGACACGAAAATTCCCTGTTTTTTCAGATTGCTAACAAAAACATGGTCTCCGAGATGACAGATGAAGTAAGATTAGTCAGCGTTACTGCTACTGAAACGTAGACACAAAACATCGATTTGAAACCACTGACTATAAGCTAAAGTAAGTATATCCAATTTATTGTATCTTCAACGCATCATTATACAACCTTGGTACAAGAAAGTTTATTCAGACGACGATACTACCTGAAACAATAACCCCTGGCAACTGAGTCTGGCTTGGGACCAGATTACAGACAATTTAAATAACATTAGATGTAAAATAAATTCAGTGGGTAAGTATTTGGTATCTCTTCAAGGTTAGAATCACAATCATCCAACGAACGAACTATGTACATATGTAGAACTATTTCAGTTTTGTTTACTTTGATAATTGCACCCTAATTCGAGCATATCTTTACATCCTTAATCATGCAATGTTGAATCAGGATGGAAACTCCGCGAGTCAGTAACTCGGTGACGTTTGAGTTTACTTAGCGTAATATAACTCTATAGTGACAAAGGATTGCTTAAACATACTCATATTTATAAATGTTTTTTGTCAACAGCTTTTTCACCTAGTCATAACTATATTGTGTTTAGATTATTGGACATCTCACTGCAATCGTAGAAGCAACCCAGCCATCGCGAAGGACACACCGGGCGTCAGGGATCGCGGGACGATCTCCGGCCACCGTAAGCGCGAGCCTGCGGACGGCGAGCATGGGTTGGCAGACACCCCGTCCGACCAGAAACAGACCCGAGCGTACGGTCCGCGCGCGCCTCAAAGAGCCATCAGACCACCACAGATGGGGCCCAACAGGGCCGATGCCGATTCGGAGTCGTGGAGAACCTAACGTTGCCGGGGTTCCGGCTCGATGTGCAGGAGAAGGAACGGGGTGGTTTTTAGTCAGTAAGAGTCTGACACTCCCTCCCGCCTCAACCAGGCGGGAGCAGTCATTCGAAGATTTTCCCCACTTAAAAAAAACTATTGTTTTGCAAAGATTTTTGTGACAGAACTGTACTTTCCGGGCGTTACTATTATAAAGGATCCAGGAGGCGTCCAAACCTCGTAAACACAAATAATTTGTTGTTAGATAATACACGTTTATTTGAAAGCTTTCTATTAATAGATATATACTGAAAAAATCTTATTATTTATAGGTACTAGATAACGTTAAAACACGTAATATAATAATTATGCTTAGTCGTTAAGACGGAGAATGTTTACAAAGACAAATATTTCACAATTACTTGCAACTATCATTAAATGTGCAAACTTTACACAGATAGATAGGTATAGTACGTATTTAAAAAAATATTATTTATACATGTAATTGGAGATTCTCTCTCCCATCAAATACATAAATGAAAAATAAGAGCCTAATTCCATATAATAAGGCCTTGATTGTGAACTTCAGCGACAATAGTAGTAAAATCTAAATGGGCGCTAAATTCTATGGTAGTTCTAGAATTTATTTCTAATATCATACAATTTTAATATAACTTAAAACGTCGTTTTTACTTGGGTTAATGTATTGAAACCAAAGATCTGAATTGGCTAATTTTCAAATGAATTTATGAAGGTACTATGTTATAACCATTCCCGATAGCCATAGATGCGTAAAAGTAAATTAATTTCACCTGATAACCTAGCTGGTTACTAAATTTAAACCTTCTAGGTCATCTGGAAGTGGGTTAGAACTTATGTCTATCGTTAGGCAGATCAGCGGTAAAAATCATTATTTTGGGGTATCCATATCTAAGTAATCGTTTCAGATTTATCGTAGGTATTTATTTATTTTGATACATACATATATAACTTTTACACATATGTACACATATTATAGCTTACGCCATTAAGTTATACTGTAATGTATTATTTGTGTTTATTACAAGAAGTTCATTCGATATTTTATGTCAAATACTTTTTGAGATATGAAGTGAAGGGGTAAAAAGTGACACTGACTGAAATGGTTCGTGTAAAGATACAGGGTGCGCGCTACCTCCATTTGCTTGGACTTTGGATACGCCACCGCGTCTCTTGATTCAATTTATAGTTGATGGGGTAACAGTATTCAGTATTTATTTCCCCGGTAGAAATTAATAGGTATCCACAAATTAATGGCAAAAGGTCTAGATCAAACAAAATATTTGCAAGTCACTATCTAACAAACATGTTGTTGAGGAGCTTACATCTAAATTATAACACAGACAACGTTGTCTTTTTAATCTCTTTATGGATGCGACTAGTGTGCGTATTGGCATCGTGTCTTTAACAAGTTCGCCTAATGGAAGTAAATAAGTTGATTCCCAAGTCGCTCGCGACGTAAATACTGAAAGATTCAGGAGCTCGACTCAAATCAAAGCGGGCTTTCGTGATCGGCGGACGCGTCCCGATCTGGTACCCGCTGCCGGCTGTCACTCACAAACACAAGTTTGCCAACATGGGAACTAAGAAGAAAAAGGAACAGTAAGTCTTTAAAATTATTTTATACAATAGCAATCGCGATGGATGCAATCAGTCATTACATTCAATCCTTAACGAATGTTTACATTATGATTACTATTTATTTACCGCAGCGAACGTTATCGTTTAGCATGGGTTGGTGTTTATAATTATTGTATTACAGACTTTATGATTTGTCTAAATTGTGTACGTAGTAACCAGCTTCTTCATCTAAAGTACTTACTATTTTTTGATGAATATGTGATATATTTTCTATCATATAGTGAAAAATTTACAACAGAATTAATTCATCTTATTTAATATGAATGAGCAGATACAGCCACAAGACACAGCCATGTTTCTATGAATAAATTATACTAAAATTCGATTTCCACTGAAAAAAATATTTGCATGTACAAAATGTTTCGTGTTCGGACGTAATTTATTTTCGGACCATAATGAAAAATAAAATCAGTGATATTGGCAAAATAGGTAAGTATTGTACTGTCTTCAAAGTTATTCAGAATACATATACGAATATCTATCAAAAATTCCTGGCTTAACTTATCTCCAATGAAAAACATGCAACCAAAAAAATTAAAACACAATTGTGTAAAAACCATGGGTCTACTTCTACTACCTTGAACAAACTAGAACCGTCTATAGAGATTAACAGATAAATCTTACACACCATAACTACCTTAACAAAGTAACGATTGTTTATAAATTAATGGCGTATAGAATATTTTGTGTATAAGGTGAAAATACGTCGAAATTCGGAGATTCCGTTTGATAAAGATCGCAGGTAGTCTGACGGGATGCAGGTTGCCATGAACAAGGTGATCTTAAAGTCATTGAAGGAAGCCTAATGTCAGGCAGTGGTCGCTTTGTAGTTACAATTGATATAGATAGATTGGAGATAATAACTTTTTTAAGCTATTCACTCATTTGCGATCTTGCCAAATGTTCTAAATATGCTACGAAACCACAATGACAATTTGTGCTCTAGTATCAATCACAGAATCATTGAAACGTAATCAGTAATGTAATTAATGAATAACAACCGCTTTTTGTCCACTATGGCGAGGTCTTAATGTTCATCATTAACCTGCAGATGCACATTGATAAATTTTATGGCGATCACTTTGTGAAATGACTTCATGATAGTTTGTAGTGATGGAGACCATTGTACATTGAAGAATATTCAAGTAAATAAAGTTACCCTGTTCCCTAATAGTTTTTTTCTTTACACTGAAATCATTTGGTTAACGCAGTGTAAAATTCCTTTAATTGAAATACGATATAGTAAGGTCTATGAATGCTCAGAGGTAATATTAGAGGGTACGAAAACTGAATGCATGTGATAAGTTTTAGACCCATTTAATTCCAAATCCGAACGACGAGTTTATAGTTGTCAATATTTTGTTTGTTTCAGAAAAAAGGAGCCCGAGCAGACCTTGTCGTACTATCAAATAGTAAGTATTACATTCCTTAAACTTCGATCTCACAACATCTGGCATGTCGGTGTTTCAAGCTCAAGTTCGAGCTCTCATATCGAAGTATTGCGCAATAATTGTAACATTTTCAGTACGCAGATTTACAAATACAATAATTTTCGAATGAAAGAATATTATTTTGGTCTGAATGCTTGAAGTTTTGCGAAATACATGGATGAATGATAACTAACTAATAATAATTAAGTACGTACTTCATTTTTTGTATATTAGTTATCTTTACTTTTGTGTATTGAGTAGTATAATTGGCATTTGTACTGTTCTATTCAAATAAATAAATATCCAACTAATTTTACTAGGACAACATAAATGCGAAAGTAATTCTATGTATTATGCGTTCACAATTAAACTGCTATGCATATTGTGAGGAAATTCGATATGGAGATTAATGTAGGTAGGTACCTAATTGAGTAATCGGTGACGTAATACATAATTGTTACTTCTCAGTTCCGCTATGCAACATGTACGGAACTGATGGCGACTATTCTGGGCATCATCTTCGGGCTGGCCAGCGGTGGAGGCGTCTGCTACAACTTGGTGCAGATCGGAGAGCTGAGCACCGCCTTCGTAGAGAGGACCACCTACACAGAGAGGCTTACTAGTTACTTACCACTTACAGTAGCATTTGGAGGAGGGAGGAGGCTGTAAGTTTTAATAAACTTATACATACTATAGCTTACTAGCTTTGGGTACTAAAGACAGATTTAATATTATGAAGTTACTTTTTTTAATTTATGCCAAAATTCTATTTCTTGTTGCTGCACACATGAGTATGTGTTAGGCTTAACATGTATAGGTTAGCGAGACGATGAAAATCAAAATCTATATTCTGAAAGTAATTAGTCGAATGGTTCCAGGAAATTGATGCAAATAATACAACTTGAGTAAAAACCACCGCGTCACAACTACCAGGATAGTACCTAATATTTTACCCACCGTGAAAGAAAGGAAATTATAAAATTCTACCTATAAGCTTCTCCTTAGTGTGATAAAACTATTAAATCAAGATAAACGTTTTCTCAGAGATAGATAAATAATTAGATAAAAATTATTACGAGCTTTTTTTACCCAAGATTTATTAACGGTCATGTTAAAACTTAGACTTTTCATGTTTGGGCAAGAATTTTAGGAATCTTCTATTTGTTTTTATGCATCAGTTATATATAGGTACCTAATACAACCCGGAAGTGGAACTAATAACGCATTGGACGTAAACGAATCCTCAGCAAACTTGAGCCCTTAAAATTGAGGCAATTGACTTTAGTTTATCTTCGGCTACGGCAGTTCCAGTAAGCGTTTGTACGAGTTAACAAGTAAAATAAAATTTGTCCAGGTTCAACGCTACATATGAGGAGAATATGCTGGCCCTGATAGAAGACGCCAAGGCCATGGCGATCGGCTTGTTCCTCAGTATCGGAGTATCACTAATCTTCTGCATGCTCTCCGTCGGCCTGATCAGTTGGAGCGCACTCCGTCAGGTATTTCTATTTTAGTTTCGTCGATATGAACTGTTTTGCACGTCGTACGTACATACACTTAGATCATAGAATCAAATTGGATACGTTAGTTTAGGAACTAATTTACTTTACTGTTAGGTTTTTTTAAGGGGGGAAATTCATCGAATGGCTGCTCCCGCCTGGGTGAGGCGGGAAGGAGTATCAGACTCTTACTGAGTAAAAACCACCCCGTTCCTTCTCCTGCACGTCGAGCCGGAGCCCCGGCTACCCGCTAGGTTCTCCGAGACTCCGAATCGGCATCGGCCCCGTTGCGCCCCACCTGTGGTGGTCTAATGGCTCTTTTAGGCGCACGCGTGATGTTAAGCCTTGAGTTGAAACTGTGCTAGGAATTTAATGTTAACTTTCATTTAGTAGTTTCTTCAGTATCAAAATAAACGTCAACGTTTATTAAAACGGCTGAAGGCACCATTGTTTTTTTAACGATTACATCTTTAAGATATCGGTGCTTTGTCACAAATCTCAAAATTACATGATTTGCGTAATTAATAATTATTAGTTATAGTACCTATAGGTAATAAAAAAATGACACATCTGTTTCCTTCATTGCCGTAAGAAACAGTTGGGCCAAGTCCAAAGCTTCAATAGTTTTATGTCATCTCGCGGATCGTTCATAAATGGTGCCATAATATTGTTTTGTTTACGCAACTCCTGACCTGTACTATTTAACCTATCATTGCTACCGTTTATGTCATAGTCCATTGTTACAGTCTACAAATGAATCGTTCTTCCTATTAATAGTTAAATACAAGTTGCAATAAAATATAAGAACAGGAAATGGTAATATCTTTAATTCTGTTTATTTTTTTTACGGCATTTCAAGTCCCTAGGCGTTATTAGGTAATTTAATAATACGTACAATAATCTCAATATAACCTTAAAAGAGACACAATCACGCTGGTATGAATGTGGTTATCGGAGCCGCAATCCTCTGTATTCACTCCCAATCCCCAAATCCTACATAAGACGGTAACCCATTTGTAAACGTCTCGTGTTGTGCGGAGGTCCAAGGGCGTCTGTGATTATTTACCATCAGGAGATCCGTCTGCTCGTTTGCTGACCAATCCAAAAAAGAAAGAATAACCCCAATTTAGTCCATAGTAAGTTGGTACTACAACTATAATAATACTGTGTCTTAGTATTATTATGTTGCTAATGTTTATCTATGTCGCAGACAGCCATGAGACAATTGAAAGCTTCATAGTTGTTCGTTGTGATGTCAATAACAAATGATATGATGACCTATTTACATGACACGTATTTACAGCGTCAATAGAATTGAATCATTCTCTTTCTTGATGTTATGGAGTCGTTATTGAAATTAAACAACTTATTTCAATAAGGATACAAACAAGCATAAAATAGTGCAGTCGTTTCGTCGTTTCGTATATCGTCAAACACATCTTAAACAAAACATCACGCCTTTTATCCCCGCCAAGATAGGCAGAGGTGCACATTACTTTCACATTATTTACATTACAATGTATCACCTACTTTTCACAATTTATGTTATGAGTCCGATGTAATAGGGATAAGTCCATTGCCATATACCAAGCACAATTCCAAACTCCGTGCTATTACTGAGAATTAAAAAAAAACCAGTAATAATCCAAGTCGAATCCGTGATCCTTGCCGAGTCACACTAGCGATCACTCGGTCAACGAAGGAGTCAATAAATCTTAAACTCATGAGCTTAATGAGTTTGTAGATTTTGCACATTTTACCTTGGCGTTGTAGACATCAGAGCGATTTATACTACGACTGAGCGTTAACTCAATCAGAATTAATCAAGAGTTGGACTACGAGCAATATGTTTTACTCTTGTTTACCATGCAATTGAACTTATCTGTAGTTTGATTTAATCAAAGGATAGAAATTCTATATTCAATTCTATAAGCACCTACTATTTATTTTGAATACAGTCATTAAACAACAAGGTGATTCCTATTATTGTTGTACTAGTTTCAAATGTGAATTTGATATAAAGTATAACAGTCAATCCAATGCCATGAAGCTCTACAGCTAATTCTTACCATGAGGTAAAAAACAGAAAACACAGAATATTGGATCAAAAACATCAAAACATGAGGAAGCGATCTCCACAAATATGCATAGATACGGCCTTAGCATGACGATGCAAAATCATAAGGAACCATCAAGCATTAAATTGGAAACCTATTTTAACAATGGATTTTAATTTTTTGGATCTATTTGTCCTTCAGTAAATTGATATCACATTGGTTGTTGAGTGAAAGCCAATTTGTTAGATCGAATACACAAACATTGTATTCAAATCCACGGGTCATTGCCGTTTGTAGTGAGGAACTTCAATTAACCTAACTATATGAAACTTATCTAGTCTCTTTTGAACTTGAAGCGTGTTTCGACTTAGATTTATAACTGTCATAACGTTACATTTGTTTTTCTCAATTAACAGATGACATAATCGCGCACTATGGTGATCGTTATCTTGTTGCTACAATTATGAAATGAGATATATAACAATCAGATATTTGATAATCCTGTATTCCGTTGATAGCGAAAAATTTTGCAGGTGCTTTGAAATTATGGTCAGTTTTAAAGGTCTAACCTTGGTTTTGAAGTTACAACTTCAAAACACGTATCTATTGTTATAGATCGGAAGGTTTTCCTGCGATTCAGTCCTGGCTGTGACCATATGAAGAATCTGCTTGCCTAGAAAGGTTGCGATCCTGTCTTATCGTTTCGTGTGTAGCATACCTACCGATGTCATTGAAGTTTGAATAGTAATTATGTCACACGTTGCCCCATATTTTTATATGATATAATAAATAATGGGAACAAATTTTACACGAGCACAAACGAAATCAATTGCTTTAAATTGATGACCTTACTGCTGATTGACTCGCAGAGCTTCACAATGTGAACGAAAAAGAAATAATGCTTACTTACTGATAAATGTGGCCTTGAGAACTCAGTTCAGGGCATAATGATCAAAATCACAATGAAAAACATTGATTAAATTATAGAACTTTTTCATAATACTTCATTGTTGGTTCTTTGCAACGACGTCATAACAAAATATCGCCAGTGGTTCTTTATAACCAAGTTTATAATGAGCGCGGATTTATCATCTGATCTCATTGCTTTCTGTAGCTCGATAACTACAATAAGTTATGGTTTCAACTGATGATCTCAATTATAGCATTCAGACTTCCGTGCTTAGAATCCACGAACTGATTCTAGGTAAATCTTGATGACAGCAAAACAGAAGATAACTAAATTAAGATCACTTTGTGAAATCATTTATTTTGTTTAGTCTGCTGACTAATTGTATTTTACACTATTACCTGTGAATATATTCATATAATTTATAATAATATGTCACTATGGTGGTTGAATGTGGAAAGCATTAATTGTGTGTTGATTGAGGAGCACTATGAAAAGGTGATGATATTAGGTTACTCTTTAGCTTAAGGCCTAATAAAGAAGCTTCCTTGTTTGTATACAAATGGTTTAACTTTAATGTGAAAATATTCTGTTTACCAGATAACGCGGATACGGATGAAGTTCTTGAATGCAGTGCTGCGACAAGACATGTCTTGGTTCGACACGGATTCTGAATTCAACTTGGCTTCAAAAATGTCTGAGTAAGTACACCCAACATGAGGAATACGCCACTGCTGAACGTATTTTTTTTTTAAGGGTGGAAAATCATCGAATGACTGCCCCCGCCTGGGTGAGGCGGGAGGGAGTGTCAGACTCTTACTGACTAAAAACCACCCCGTTCCTTCTCCTGCACGTCGAGCCGGAGCCCCAGTTACCCGTTAGGTTCTCCGCGACACTGCTGAACGTATGGGTCGCCTTTTTGAAGACATTGCAAGAATAATGAATCTTTGTGTGATTCATCAATTGTTGTTGCGGGTCTGCCTGTAATGTGTAGGTACGTTTGTAACTAAGACACAAGAGAAAATCTTAGTACAGAGCAACGTATTGTAATAAAGAAAGAAAAAAAGACAAATCACTGATAGAAAATGCTAAAACTATACCAAGCTTTCGGGGGTTTCAAGTTATATTTTAGGATAAGTATGTCAGAAATTCAGGGTATTAGAAATGATTAGTCCTGTAGTTTTAGCCCTATTTACTATAAACTTATTGTAAAAAAGTATTTTCGGTTACCTTAGAATTAATGGACCTTGTACTTTCAGGAATCTAATGTCTTTGAAGGAAGGTATGGGTGACAAGTTGGCAGTGGTGTCGAACCTGGTGGGCACAGCTATCATCTGCCTGTGCACTGCCTTCCCATTGGGATGGGAGCTCACACTCGCCTGCGTGTCAGTCATGCCCTTCTCTATTGCTGTCTCTGTAATTTTAACTAATGTAAGTATACAATTATACATATTAAATGTAACTTCTCATCATTACATTTCTCAACCCTTAAATCAAATTCATTGTTCTATGATCACGTTTTCGGTTAACAGATCAACTAAATAATACTAATAATATGATTAATACCTAACGCATAACATTATTAATAGTCAATAATTATGTTTGTTTTGTTAAGTATCAAACTAAGTCATCAATATTGGAAATGGAATCGTACAGTCAAGCCGGCAAACAAGCAGAGGAAGTATTGAAATCAGTGAGAACAATAGTTGCCTTCAACGGGGAGAACAAAGAGGTCGACAGGTAACAAACAAGTTGTAAAAACCATTTTAATTTTAGTAACAACAATATCTTAATTACTTTTTTAATCCGCAAATAAAATAACCACTATTTGCAAGTCAAGAAACTCGCGCGCACCGTCGATCATGATATGATGCAGAAATTTTGCGTGATAAGTGAACGTCGCGACATCGTCGGCGTAGTCCCAGTAAACAGATATATGTATGTACATATTATGACGCATTTATTGACATAACACACGACGTATAAAAGCTATAACATTGCGTAAGATTTTCGTCGGATTGGTATCTTCAAAAAAGCTATTACATTCTTGAACATGCTCGGAGTATTGTGTTTGTCATTTCCTGAAATACAATTTATACCCACTTGCTACAACTATGATGAAACTAATTGTAATCGAGGCATGTGTAAGAAAAAAGATGATAGAATTTTTCATCCGACCTGAAGAAGACTAATTGGAGACCTGATTCTGGTAATGCTCATACACTCTTAGACAAATCATTTTCACGTAGGAATTGTTGTCTAATAAGTTTTATCATACTTTCAGGTACACGAAACTTCTTCAACCTGCTGAGAAACAAGGTCGGAAGCGAGGCCTGTACACCGGCCTCGGTAACGGCTTTAATTGGGTGCTCACTTACTCCTTGAATGCTATCGGCTTCACATACGGAACCAGACTCGTATTCATGGACTGGGACAGTCCAGAAAGCGAACGGAAGTATTTAGTTGGAGTTGTATATAGTGTAAGTACTTCATACGATTAGAATGATCATCCTACCTTTTGACACATAAATCTACAGTAAGCTTGACCTTTGAAGTTATTTAATAGTAGAGAGAAGGCAAGTGGAAGGCAAAAAGAACTTAAATGGTTTCTAATGATATTGTAATTTTAAAGATTTTAATGACATATTCTTATGTTTGAAATAAAATTATTTATCTTTTTTTTTTTCAGATATTGTTCAGCGTGTACATGGCTACACAGTCAGTCACATTCTGTGTACCACACGCAGAAGTATTCGCTGCTGCACGAGGAGCCGCTTCCAGCATATTCCAGTTGATTGATCGAGTGCCATTAATTGACAGCCTTCAAAAAGGTGGTTTAACTCCAAGGAGAGTAATAGGAGAGATATCTCTAGAGGACGTACACTTTAGTTATCCGTCACGACCAGAAGTTAAGGTGCGCTTATGCTTCATCTAAATCTTATAAATTATGCGATGAAATTAAGAATTATTTTGATAGATTGCCTTGTAAGGCTCACGTAGTCTGAAATTTAATTAAAACAAGAAACAAATTGTATATGTCTGCTAATTTGTTATTTATTACCTAGGTCCTAAATGGATTTTCCATTAAGATCAAAGCTGGCGAGTGTGTGGCTCTTGTTGGGTCATCCGGTTGCGGTAAATCTACTATACTGCAGCTATTGCAGAGACTTTATGATCCACTCTCTGGATCCGTGAAACTTGATGGAAAAGATGTCAAAAACCTGAATTTGGGTTGGCTTCGATCATGCCTAGGTTAGTATGCAACGTTCCTAGACTTAAAACAGGCTTCACCGAAGGACTGATCGAAAATTTCCTGACTTTCAATAGTTGTAGAGTTATTTGAAATGACTCACTAAACCATTATTACATATTCATTTCAATAATCATATCGCGCCATCTTTGTTATGTATTCCACAATCTTACTTTTTCAGGAGTGGTAGGTCAAGAACCGGTATTGTTTCGTGGCACAATATTTGAAAACATTGCCATAGGCTTCCCTGAAGCTACGAGGGAGGAAGTTCAGACTGTAGCTGAGATGGCGTATGCCCATGACTTTATCACCAACCTCCCCAATGTGAGTATTAACAGAAACTAATGACTATGCCATTGTTTACTTAATTATTGTCTATTGTTCGCTAATAACATGTGACGTGTTATTTCTAGGGCTATGATACGGTGATAGGAGAGCGCGGTGCTTCCCTATCGGGTGGTCAGAAGCAACGCATCGCCATAGCTCGGTCGCTGCTGCGGGAGCCGGCTGTGCTGCTACTGGATGAGGCCACTTCCGCACTCGACCCTCACTCTGAACGACAGGTGCAGGCTGCACTTGATCGTGCGAGTGTTGGGAGGACAACCATTATGGTATCACATAGGTAAGAAGTGAAATAATTACGAAATAATTACAAATAATTGTATCTTATAGTTAGGTTTGCAGAAAGAAGTTTTGGGCTGTAGTAGAAGTGAAATAAGATTTCTGAACAGATTCTCTACCGCATTTTTAAACATATTGTGTGTACCTAATATGACACAATATTACGTTTCACTGAATTGTCTCATCTGTTTTGTGGATAAGTCTTATTTAATTTATACTTTAAAATTTGTAAGAAATGGCAAGTTTCCAAGTCTGTAGTCTAGCAGTACAAAAATACATCACCACGATGTACACACGTGGAGTAATCCTACGCAATACAGATCGTGTATGCTTGTTTTAGATTGTCAACAATTACCAACGCGAACCGCATCATCTGCATGGACCAGGGTGCGATTGTGGAAGAAGGCACACATGAAGAACTTATGAAGACCAAAGGTAAAACTATTGGAAATATAAAATATCGTCCATCTGATGACTAGCGGATTGCACAACTCAAACTATAATATAGTATGAATGTACGTTCCTAAGAGAGGATTTTCTGAAATCTCTTCGGGAAATGAAAATTGCTTTTTGTGTTCAGAAGTGAAGTGAAGACAATGTTGTGGTCAGAAGTAAACACATGTCATTATAAAAAAAACTATGTGTGGTGGGGTTTAGTTGTGACATGTTATTCAGAATCTAAAGAATCTAAAAAACTAACCTGAGATAGATACAATTTAGCATGCAGGTTAACTGAAAAGATGCAAGCTAATACGACTATACGAAGATAAAAATTAAGTCAAAGCCGAAAACTAGTTGTTCATGTAATTGTTAATCATCAACAACAAATGACCATCAAGATTCACTGCAGATTATATACTTACCACATCTTATTATTGTAGGATTTTACTACAAGTTAGTGACAACAGGCAACGAAACTAAGGAACCTGAAGAAATTGAGACTGTGGCTGAAGAGGGAGACGGAGAAGAAAATGGAGAACCCGTTCTAGCTCCTCGTGCAGACGTTAAGAGGAAGTCTAACAGACGTGTGCATAGACATCATTCCATCAAGAAAGGTTCGATAGCAAAATCTATTACGAAATATTATATCCTTTACTCTAAGACACCTGATAGTTTCTAGAACATTCATATCTTGTATTGGTAATTTTGAATTTCATGGTCATATAATACTGTCATCATAAAACCTGTATCTTTCAGATTCCCATGACTGGATGACTCCTCGAGGTTCAATATGCTCGGTAGTGTCAACTGGCTTACAAAACTTCGTATACAATGCCGATTATGAGTCGGATGAAGAAAAAGATGAGGAAGAAGTATGTTTTACAGCATTCGAAGATGTTTTTCTTTTAGATGGTTTTACATGTAACTGTTTATTGAAATCTCTTCTGTTCTTAGGAAGTTAAACCTGTAAGCGATTGGCAGATCTTAAAGCTAAACGCACCAGAATGGCCACTGATCACTGTAGGATCTATAGCGGCGTTCATTCAGGGTGCTTGCTTCCCCGTATTCGCGTTGCTCTTCGGATTTTCAAGCGGTGTAAGTATAACTATCGTATTTTGTATTTTAGAAGCAGTTGTAAGTATATTAAAATGAACAATATGTAGGTACCTATGTGTTATACCTTCTTTCCCTAACCAAGACCATTAGATGAGCAAATGGTCACTAAATACTTAATAAAAATCAAATTACTGTTTGAAAGAACATTCGAGACAAATGCCGCTTTACAATGAATCATTTTTATGTTTCAGATCTTCGTCCTTGATGACAGAAAGGAAATCATTTACCTAGCGGATCTCTACTCGGGCATGTTCATCGTGGTGGCTGCAGTGGCTGGTGTGTCCATGTGTTTGCAAAGCACTACATTCACCACCGCCGGATTGAAAATGACAACGAGGTTACGGCAGCAATACTTCTCATCTTTACTTAAACAGGTATTCATAACGTAAAGTTTTATCCTAACAACGTTCGATCTTTTATGTTTGATGTTCTTAGAACATAGGTTAGTACGCAAAAGTTAATAAACTGCCCCCAAGTAGAATTTATCTATTTGTTATTTCTTAAGTTTCCATTCATAATGATTCTGAAAAATCTAAATAAAAGATATCGTTTGTATTTTATAGGAAATCGGTTTCTTCGACAAGGAAAGCAATACGGTTGGTGCAATGTGTGCTCGACTCAGTGGAGACACGGCAGAGGTGCAGGGTGCTACTGGGTTAAGAATAGGTCTTATTCTGCAAGGAATAAGCTCTGTTCTCGTGGGTTTCTTGATGGCAATCTGTTACAACTGGAAACTTACTCTGGTTGGAACTGTATTCCTACCTTTGGTGAGTACAATTTATTCTAGAGTGACTGTTTGACACAGGGTCATTAAATTACTCAGTTTGGTCTTAAAAATATAATATGCCATCGATTCATTACATGGTGTTACTTATTTTCAACTACAGATGGTGGGCAGCATATGGCTGGAAGGTATTGTTTCCCAACAATCTCAAATCAACGAAAGGGCCGCTATGGAGGCAGCGACAGCCATTGCCACAGAAGCAGTAGTCAGTATCAAAACTGTCCAAAGTTTAGGTAAGAAAGATATTAAAACTATTTAGTTTGTAGATAAGTCAACATATCGAGTCATATAGCACTATAAATTCGAAGACATTTCTTTGCAATAACAAAAAATAGTGTTATCAGTACCCAATCTTCAGCATCGGTTCAATTTTACTAACTGAATCTTCTCGAAAATCGAATACCCTAATACTTTGCGCGACCTAGTAATTGATTTGACTTGATTGACTTCTCTTATAAGAAGACAATCCATATTTGATAAGCGCCTATTTCATTTTAATAACAATTGCGACGCTACTCTGAAACGCAAGATTACAAATAATAATTGTACGTTTTATGCAGGCGTTGAGCTGGTATTCCTGAAGAAGTTTGAAGAAGCGTTGAATGTAGCTTGCTTGGCTGTCTCGAAGAAGACTCGCTGGAGGGGTCTGGTCTTAGGGTTGGGAGTGTACGTGCCGTTCTTGGCTTACTGCAGTGCCACAGTATATGGTGCTGTCTTGGTGGCCTATGGAGAAATCGAATACAAAATTGTGATGCTGTAAGTACCTTTAATATTACATTCCTGCCAGCCTGTTGAATCTTAAGATCTTGAGACATCTTCTGTTTGAGTTCTTTATAAATAATCGGATTGTCTTGTTTGATACTTAAGTAAGTGTGGGAAAACTATCCACGAATCGGTCAGCTTGATTGGATCGGATTCATCCGGCCTCGACGAACACCAGAGTGAAACAATGATTGCGTTGTGTTTTGCTGCGTGAGTGAGGTTACCGCCTACCGGAGGCCTAATGCATTCCCTCGCCAATCTCCCCAATTTTTTAAATCCTTTGGTACAATTGCTTACCAACATATGATCTATCTGTTCGTTTGCTGGCCTATCCCATGAAAAAATTAAAATCTTGTCTTTAAGAAGCTAAGAAAACATTGTCAAAGGAACTCAATCAGTTATCGTACAAAAACTTAATTTAATGAAAATTTCTTTGCATCAAGTGAACCAAATGTGAAGTTATTCTTTTCATTACCTAAAGGGTCAACGAAGCCATCATGTATGGAGCGTACATGTTGGGTCAGTCTCTCGTGTATGTGCCGAGCTTCAACTCAGCGAAGACATGTGGTGCTAGGATCCTTGCTCTCATCAAAAGAACACCGAGGGTTAAAACCGAGGACGGAATAAGAGACAAGAAGGATTGGGTAAGAAACATTATGTATTATCATTTGAACACCTTTAAGTTTTTTTAATCAATATTTATTTATTTCCAGAGGTATTAAAGACACATTAATAGATTATAATGCATTGTTCCTGGAAGTAATTTAAGAATGCATTGTGACCAAAGACTGGACCTATTATAGTGATTTAAGTGCATAATTGAGAAAACTGGACAGAAGTTATATATAGGACTGAATACTAGTTATAGTTATCTTTTTTCTTCTTTTCAGGCTGCAACTGGGAACTTCAGCATTCGTGATGTAGAATTTAGTTACCCAACTCGTCCTCACTTGAGGATTCTGAAAGGCATTGATCTGAAGGTAGATGCCGGCAAAACGGTGGCTTTAGTTGGGTCCTCCGGATGTGGCAAGTCTACTGTCTTACAATTAATGCAGAGGTTTTATGATCCTGACTCCGGGAACATTGTAAGTTCATTTTCTTTTTGTCTTTCATTTATATTTACTACATTTACATATACGTTACATGGATACACCATTCTTTTAATATGTTGATCCGCTTGAAGATGCAATGCATGTCTTAGATAAAGAAGCAGTAATGTAAAAGGTATTCAGATCTAGTTATATCCTAAAACTTTGACGAGCTACTGAGAGACGAGCAGCAGCATAGCAATTACGACGAAGTATTAAGAAGGCTAAATCACCAGTACATATATTGTATACTACATTAAAAGGATGTTTATACAATACAGGAGCTGGATAGTCGTGACATAAGGTCGTCGCTCACATTACCGCGGCTGCGTCGTCAGCTGGGTGTAGTGCAGCAGGAACCGATACTCTTCGACCGCACGCTCGCTGAGAACATCGCCTACGGGGACAATAACAGGAAGGTCACCATGCACGAGATCGTGGCTGCAGCAAAGGCAGCCAACATTCACAGCTTTATAGTCTCGTTGCCTAAAGTAAGTAAGCTTTAACAACTATACAGTCAGAGCGAGTACGATGAATGTATTGAATGCTAACTTTCCTAGTTAGCATTTAAGGATAACATCATATATGTACATGGTGTGTATCAAGATACGATACGAATCAAGATACGATTCAACACGTACGATAAATCGTACAAACAATATAGAAAATCTAATAAAATTACACATAAGCCAGGATAACCCGCTTAAATAATGCTACATAAATAAAATCTATCTTTTCTTATTTTCCACAGGGTTATGACACAAACCTAGGGTCCGGTGGAGCGCAGCTGTCTGGCGGTCAGAAGCAGCGAGTGTGCATTGCACGCGCGCTCATCCGTTCGCCGCGACTCTTGTTACTTGATGAAGCTACTTCTGCGCTAGACGCGAATAGTGAACGGGTGAGATATATGATTCATTGTCTAGAACTTATGTCGTTAGTGGTCTACATCGTCCCATTACTAAGTTTCGTTATTAAATAAAGTTACCGATGTAGCCCAAAGGATTAGCAAGCTGAAATGGCAGTGGGCCGGTCACATTTGTCGAAGAACCGATGACCGCTGGGATAGACGTGTTCTGTGGAGTGGAGACCGCGTCTAGGAAAACGTAGTGTAGGACGGCCTTGACCTAGGTGGAGTGACGATATACGTAAAGTGGCTGGTAGTGGTTGGATGCGTAGAGCTGAAGATCGAGCTCATTGGCTTGTCATTGGAGAGGCTTATGTCCAGCAGTTGAACTGTAGCTTTCAATTCACCACTGTCATCGTTCTATGCAATAAATACTTAGGCCATAAAAATAATTTATTTCAGGCTGTTTCGGAAGCTTTGGAGAAGGCAGCCAAGGGTCGTACTTGTATCACCATCGCGCATCGGCTATCCACCATCAAGGATGCTGACCTCATCTGTGTGCTTGATAAAGGTAACTTGTTTTGAGGTAGTGGCCAAATGACGAGACAATTGATCTGCTGGTTAACACCAGCGCTACCGACTATGAAGTCTTTTCGTTAGTTAGACAAAAAGGAGTACGATTTTTCTTGAAAGTTTGGAAGTCCAACGATATTTCATTATACATAATTTTATTTAATTTTTCCAAAGATCCTCTTGCCTAAATTCTTGTTTACTTCAATTTTCAAAATGTTTGATGTTTTCTAGGAAAAATCGTGGAACGAGGATCACACGCGGAACTCTTCAACCAACGAGGCTACTACTGGAAAATGTGTAAAGGACAAAACATGGCTTAATTCTTCCAAAAAAGAAGTTTGGACTGTCAACTCGCCTAAAATACTTGCTACTCAGTATTTTTAATAATACATAATGTATACTAAAATATTTCCTTCTGACAATTAGACATAAGAATATTTTACCAAACCACGGACCCGGACTCTAGAAGATGTCCGTTTTGCAGTATTAACGATGGGCATTAGGCACATAGGGATATAACATTGTCTATCTCTATCACTTTATACATAGAAACTTATTGCATAGATATTTTATAACGCTACTTATTAAGTTTTCTTATTGCTAAGATATCCAAAGATATTTTTATACAATCGAATATTACAATAATGCAATATGTTAATTATATTATATACATAGAATAAAGCAGTAAGACAAGTTAAGGGAGAAATGAATTATTTTGTATAATAAGACGTCTCAGCGGTTGTAACCTTAAGCTGTTGCTAACGACGCAGGAATCTTGACCAATCTACGTAAATTAGAACTTATATTTAGTATCATCTAAAATGTTTATTGGCTATAATGTTTGGAAACTTGTGCTGGACACAACGCGTATTGAGGGGTGAGTAGTAAATAGGTCACTTGCTTATAATAATGTCAAGTATCAATTCTATAAGCTCGTTTGAACGTCTTGTGTGTATGTGCGAATATCAAGATTGATGTAACTCATTACATTCCTGATATCAAGACAGATGTGTGGACGAAGCCTTAAAATAGATTGTTACTTAAAACCATTTATAATAAGTTTTGTATTTACATTTAGTTTTTAAGTTCATCTTTTATGTTGAATAATTAAATCAGTTATAATAATTGATGGGTCTTTGTTTAATTGATTCTTTCATTCATTATCCTTTAGTTCTGAACCACTTTTAGGTAAAGATATGATAATTTTAGGTAATGTATAAATGGTGGCCCGTTAAGACACCCGCTTCTAATGCATGAGGGTGGGGATTCGAAGTCTACCAACGGCAAGATCCAGTGTGACTTTTACCGAGTTACACTTAGTTTCACTTAGTGGTGTCCACCATTGACAAATGCTGAAAAAAAGACATTGTGAAGAAACCTTAATTATAAAGTTTTTATTCTATCTAATTCCAACCCGAAATGATCAAGCATGGTGATTAATGCTCAACCTTGTCCGTGTGAGAAGAGGCTTTGCTCACCAGTGGGCACTTATAGGTCGTTGATGATAATGACGATAATGACAGACTGGGTTACAAAAAGGTACTGCTATATTTTAAACTGTAAACATCATTCCAAGACCATAATAAATGACGTAAGTGAAGTATCTTAATTATGTTGCAACACGGTGTTTTCCTATTGTGAAATAATTTTCAGAATCATTCAGTACTAAGAATTAATCCAGATGTTTTTTGTAAACAAACAATCCCAAACGGTTTAAGAATGCAGACGTTGTTATCATCCACAAACGACAGTGATATATGACAACATAAATACATAATACTATACCTACATAATATTGCGAAATTATTTCAATCAGGAAGATATCGACTGAACTCGTCCACGTAACGTCACTATCATAAATGAACTCATAACTAATCAAATTGTTGTGATTCTCTTGAAGATAGCGGCAGCACATTTTCAGCGGTGAATAATTTATCTATATTTAGAAAATATTGTGTATTAATATGTAACTTTACAACTATTCATCCCCAACGGGACAGGCAGAGGTGCTAACTGAATGTAAGACTATTGTTCACAAGTCGCAATAGTCTACTGTCAAATACCAAGCGGTCACCGGTGACCGCAACCTATTGTTCTATAATTGTGTCTGCAAAACCGGTACTCGACGAGTTAAATGTTTCTTGTCTTCACCGGGCGCGATTCCAGACTTCTAGTGTTCTAGTGCTGAAAAGCTTTTGTAAAAAAATAGAAAAAAGCTAATAAAAATCACTTGGCTCTCGATTACTACACGATCCGAGAATCGAACCTAAGACTTACTGACTTACCTTGCTCTACGATATTTGGAAACTTTGCGTACGCTGCGTTTAAAAATATCGTATTGGCTTTTAAAAGATAACAGAAATGTGAATCTTCAGTGAGTCTCCAATGTGTCTATTTCTTTCCAGACAAAAGTTCATCTGAAAAAATACGGGACAAGCCTCTAAGTAAAATAGAAAACTTTGTCATAAGTGCTGCTCATAACAGCATTTTCCGAAATCATGAGCACAATATGCCTAGACAATAAAATAATAAACTACTTAACGTTGTGGTCTAGGTAATTGAATGATATTAAAGTCTATTTATTGTTCTATAAGTAAGCAATCAACCTAGTTGTTATCTGTTACTGTGTTAACAAGTATAAGCAGGTAATGTTATTTGAAGCGCGTGAAGATATATCCAACAGTTTATTTAATAATATCTTATCTGTAACTCTGTAATAATCTCAGTTGCTTAATCTATATTTTGTCTATTGTCTGTGAAAACACATTACAATATTATGTAAGAAGAGTTCACAAGTAAATGTTCGTTCTACAGGAGCCTAGAGAACCTTTTAATAAAGCGACTGCCAATCAAATGATCTAGGGTTTTCATGCGACATACTATCAAGTATGAAGTACACGTTATTAAGAAAAACTATTGCTATTTGTATTCCAAAGGAAATGTATAATGGTTAAAACGTTAAAACCTTAGACATATATTACGAACTAGCTATTTCCGCGCGGTTTCATACGCTCTGCTCAGGTCCTATTGGTCGTAGTGTGATGTTTTATAGCCTATAGCCATCCTCGATAAATGCGTTATCTAACACAAATTAGAATTATTCAAATCAGACTTGTAGTTACGAAGATTAGCGCGTTCAAACAAACAAACAAAAAATCAAACTCTCCCGCTTTATATAATACTAAGATAAGATGCATTTATTTCCATTAAACCATAATTTAATAAGTATCTCTACTTTTGAAACGTCAACAAGTACAAAATAATTATTAGTCTGTCAGTCTGTCCGTCAGTGTAGCTAGGTGCTCATTCCAAAATGTAGAGGTGAATGAATAGAGAAGAACGAGCAAGACACTCCATTAGTTACTCTTTAAAACAATATGTCTTATAATCTCTGATACATTATCCAATACTGTATGTATATGTGGGAACAATAAAAAATCTTAACTATAGTCTAACATGGTGCTCACATTTGCATACTGACAATCCATAAAAATAGTGCTTCAAGCAAAAAGAAAGTCTTTGTTTCAATGAAGAAAGAAATGCTCGATGCCACAAGGAAACTAGATTACAAGGAAACTAGTCTACATTAGAATGAAAGTATTAAATGGTAAACCCGTTTATTAAATCTATGTAATATTTAAGTAGGGAAGTATATTATTTGATTAAACTTAATGTCGTTATTAAACTGATCTGTTCTGAACCATGAAAGAGTTTTCGCCAAATAAGATTATCATAACAATTTCTACAACAAAACTTTGATCGCCTTATATTTATCAACTAAGTGATTTATTCACGTACGTACCCACTACTTACCACAAAAAGCCAGAAACCTTATATATGGTTTCTTAGACAACAAAGACTATAACGAGTTATTACATAACGATATGGCATGCCTTTAACAAACAGGTTTTAATCATATTTGTTTAGCACAATTTTTATGTTAAATTTTCTACAAAAAAATCTGAAATATGATTAGATCTTAAAACAAGCAATTCTGACATTGAAATCAGTATGTTAGTAACTATACCTATTGCATGTATGCATATCAATTTATCTACGTAGGTGCCATCAGTGGTTTATTCTACAATAGGATAAACAGTATGCTGAAATTTTGACAAAACTCAGTTACAATTTTCTTGGTATATCTTTGAGAATTTAATCGAAATGAGGAGAAAGTCATTAATGTATCCCAGTGAATTACCCATCGACGGGCAATGGAGCCAAAAAAGGTTTTCGAATGGGGGCAGTGCAAGGTCACTGAAAGCTACTTGCTTGGTGCAGATCGCTTCCAACCGGCCGATCTGGAAGAAGGTCATTAGGGGTGACTATAATCAACAGTAGATGTCCTGTGACAAATTATTTGGACATTTTAATGCATTCATATTATGTACTTTGCAACGGTATCATTTTAATTTCATATTTTTTTTAGTTTTCGGAGAAATATGTATGATATTTATGACATAATTAGGAACGGGATTAGAATTTGACTAGAGTGATATAACGCCCTTATAGATAAATGTCGTGAAAAAATGCTTGCGATATTTTTTGCTGATTGTCACCGGAGAACGATTTTTTTGACGGAAGGGGTCTTCCGAAAGGCCTCAAACAAATTTGAACTAAAATTTGGTCCAATCCTTGACAAAATATGTGTGGAGTCATAATGACAAACATGTGAGATGAATGGGACACAAAAATGCTTGCCTAATACATTTACGCGATAGGTCTCGTTGTTGCAAACACCTAATCTGTTTGATATCCCACTCTGTGTGTGAATGATGTCTTTACGAATTCTTATCTTTAGGAAATATTGTTTGTATATCTTAGTATATTGACAAGATACGACGCGAGTTATTTAACGACACGACAAATGGGTTCATTAAAACATTTTATACTTTCAGATGTCTTATCTATGTATGTAACTGTTAAATCGGCATGACTTAACAGTTTGTGTGTAAACACAATTTTTTCTGCCACAATCTTATTTTCTGTAGGTTAGGAGACAGTTATTATTACTTAATTTGCGAAAAAAATGCTGTGTAACGGATGCTGTTCGCAATGCACTTGTAGGTACAGCCGACGCTTGAGTCTGATTTTCTCAGTAGTTAGATAGTTATCAAAAACTAAAAACTTTTGATTAAAAATCTGGATTCCACAGTAACCCTTCCGATCTCGGATATAACAGTATCTTTCAGATGTCACATATAACAGTTTCTACTATTTTCCGCGCTATAACGCAGCGATGCAAACTCGCTTAAAAATGTAATGAAGTTGCAAAAAGGGGACATAGTACAACGTCCGTATTTTACCATATCCCACGAGGTAAATGGGTTAAACGGGGATCAAAACAAGGAAGGAAATACAAGCTCACTATTCTGCAATGATATTATCTAGAAACTTTGTTTACATACAAATGTTGTACAACTGTGTCGATGTGTTGTGCAATCGAGGGTTTTATATATTTATATTTAAAACATCCATATTTCAAATAATAAACGTTGCATGGTTGCATCATTTAGGCACAGACTTAGGTACTTCTTACCTTTTATTTTCCAAAGGGCAAGTAGGGATAAGTATGAATTTGTTAGTCTATTATAAATACAATGCGCCAATTTTAAATTCAGTTGTACTGTCGTAATTCTAAAGCTTTACATTGTTTGTGCAATTTTTTTGTAAGAAACCCAGTGATTTGTCTTACCCTAGGGTCTAACCCAACAATGGGGCTCACAATCCATTATAGGATCAGAGAAGACAAATGAACCCCTTGCTGAAAAATGTAAGATCATCGTGGTTAGTGTAGTTTTCAGGAAAATCCTTGCGTCTGTGGTATTTCCTAGATTGAATAGTTAAGACTAAACAAACACGTGTAGCCATAATCTACATATACAAATATAATTGAAGTGCTTTCAACGGTGCGCGTCGTTCTTATTGTTGCTGATAACAGGAGGGTTTAACGAATATATAAATACATGTGCCCATTAGGCGCCAACACCAGTTGTCATTTATTTTGTGCCACGGTCCCGTGTGCAACCAGTTTCTAACTTTTATTTAATTAAAGTGACTGTAAAACTTACCTGCACAAACAAACCACGAATCACCGAAATGGGATTTAGGAAAAAGAAATCTGAGTGA